GTCCCAAATTGTTATAATATTAAATTAATACATACATAATACAGAATAGGTACATAGCTAGAGATGTGTAACTCACTACGGAGTTATCACTCCGATACAACTCCGCCCTCGGAGTAAATCCGAGTGGAGTTAACTAGTCTAACAGGATTTGTCATATCCGACTTCCCTAAACTGATACTAAATCTGTTAACATGTGCAGATATTTGCTTGAGATTTTTTACTAATACAAAGATTTGGGTAAAAAAATGTCGTTTTTTTTCTAGTCTCACAGGCAGTTTTAAGACTTTCCAGGTATATAATGTCTCAAAATAATGCTATTTTGTATTCTATATTCTGTATACAATAATGTTTGTCCGTAAATGAGCTTTTTCAATGGTATACAACCAGCTAAAAAATATTTAGAATTATAACTTTTACACAATAACGATTTTATAATTGTGTAAAAGTAATAGTATTCTAATCAAACTACTTGATATATAATTAATTCTCGAAAGAGAAATAATAATATAATGTGAGGTATTATTATTTTGTGAAAAATATTATACACAAAGATTTGTTCTTATTTCATATATAAGGTTCACTTTATTATCTTCAAATAAAAAAAACATATTCAAAGGATTCTATATTTTCTCTTCAAAACCAATTACAAAATTGATTTTGATTCACAAGATTTCTGTCAATTTCAGATTTGTATGCATATTGAAATGCATAAAATAGTAGTTATTATAATAAAATAAACAAAAATGTTTGAACTATTTGTAAACTTAATCCAAAGTCTTAATAAATTCTTAGATATTAGATAGATATGTTAACAACACATTAGTGTCAAGTATTATGTTTCAAAGCTGTCGGAGTTGTGGAGTTATTAAGGGGATATAACTCCTCTCTGAAGCGGAGTCAAATCCTAACCGATCCGGCTTCGGATATGATAAGCCCATCTCTAGTACATACAATCAATATATGATTCTACAACTTTAAGGATAATAAAAAAACAACATTGTTCTTCAATTGTAATGACTTCGAACAGCCTGTTGTCAAGCAGTAGTGCAACAATTGTTTCTTGGAAATATAGATTGTAATATGTTTCCATATGAAAATAAACCTGGTCCAAAGTTGCTGAATCAATGAATATTTGCAGTTACAGAAAAAGCAGTGGTGTTGTGCTAATATTTTTTTTGCCGGAACGGTAAAATTTAAAATCCGGTTCAAAAAATTTGATATATTTCGATAAGAACTCACAAATCTAATATATTGACTTCTTATATAATTAACTTTATTATATACAGCTAGTCTATACATTAAATTGTACAAGTATGAGGGAATCATTGAGTACATAATTTATATTCTTTAATAACATTAATTATATTTATTATGGTATTATTTGTATTCATTAATACTTACAGGTATTTATTATGATATAAAAGTACTCAAGATTTATTACAATACTTTATAAGACTTAACCTAATAATATGATAAATAACCTATTACCTATCATACTATACTATATTATTGTATATCATATATAAATATCTATTATCTTCTATCATACCGTGAGATACCTATACTATATTAACTTATTATATACATACATATCTTTTACTTCTTATAAATACTACTGTCTTATTTATATATTCACCTATATTATATAGGTTTACCTTACGACCTATGTATTATTGTATACTATTGTATACTATATTATTGTATATCATATATAGATATCTATTATCTATCATACCGGGAGATACCTACACCGTCATTAACTTATTATATACCTACATACCTTTTACTTTTTATAAATAATACTGTCTAATTTATATATTCACCTATATTACATAGGTTTACTTTACGGCCTATGTATTTTTTTTTATTAGCTCTACCTATCTATTGTCTATACCGGGATTTGAACCCGGGACTTCCGCGTGACAGTCGCGCGCCTTAACCACTACCCTATCGGGTATCCCCACCAATAATATAATATGGGACGCACTGTTATTACCGCGGGTCATTTTCTAATTAATTAGATAATTAATACGAAGGTGGCGCGACGACACGCGAAAAAAGTCGGTTGATTGTAGCGTTACGGTGGGGTAGTGGTTAAGGTCGCCGCGTTTCACGCGGCGGACCCGGGTTCGATTCTCGGTAGGGTTAATGTAGTGTGTAAGGAAAATTATAGGTAATAGGATATATAGTAGATATAGGTTATGTGTATTCGGTATACAATGTAGGGATTTGAGAGTATGTGATGAAATATAGCGTATGGTATAGATGTAAGGCGTGTAGTATAGAATGCAACGTATAGGCATACGTAAGGCTATAAAAATACACGAGTAGGAACCTATGATGTAGGTGTTAGTGTATAATAAATGCGAAAGAATATAAGATTTAATTTATAAATATTATTTTTTCTTTAAGAATTTTTATCTCGGTATTAAATACCTAAAATATCCAGAATATCCGTTAAAGCATTCATTACACCTTACTGCTGCCTTTGCCGTTATCACTTCATAGAAAATTAATTACTGCACTTTTAAACGATTGTGTGCATTGTGCGACAATAGACATAAAACTATAAATTTTATTAAATGTTTGAGTAACTTGTGCGAGCTGATTTTCTTAAGATGTTCTTAGTCTCGCAACTTACTAAATTCTAAAAATTCTAAATTTAAAAATATAACATAAAAATTATTATACCGTTGTCTAGAAAGGATGGCAATTTATAAATATACAGACTAATATATACAGGATTTGGAATTTTTCTATAATCCGTAATATTGAGAAAGTTTGCATTAGACCTAAAAAGGGATGCTTATTTACCTAAGCTATGGAAATATATATGGAAATATTATATGATTTGCACATGCATCCTGAGCTCACTTAAACTAAACAATGATCATAATATATTTAACGAATTTTTAACAGTATTTACAAATTACATTCAAATCACCCAAAGCAAGTGGTTTAAGTCGTGTAATTTTTTAATTTGCCTCCCCCCTTTGAATTTAAAAATGGATTTTTCTGTGAGGCGTGTGCCCCACGTTGGGAATTACTAGTCTAGGAGTACAATTTTTCAATCTACTACCAGGTTTTGCAGTTCTTATGCTTTTGTATTTATAGAATTGCTTTTTTCGCTACAATCAATTTCCATTATATGAATGTCTTAAATTATTTATTTTATTCGACTAACGCCCGCTATGTCCGAAACAAGTCCAACTTATATCCGAAATAATCGGGCATCAGACACTTTTCGGTCTTAAAGTAACATATGTGAAATTTGAAATACACTACTGTATTGTAATTATTATTTCAGTTCATACACCTCAATTTGTAACTAAATTAAAAACGACTTTGATAAAACCAGTGGTGTTGTGCTAATATTTTTTGTCGGGACGCTAAAATTTAAAAACTGGTTTATAAACCGGGTCAAAAACCGGTTCTCATGTTTTTTCCGGTTCCGTTCGAAAAGAAAAGAAACAAAAATTATTACAAAACCCATTGTGTGCACATATATGTATGTTTATTTCAATAATAAGAACATTTAATAAAAATTAGTTGAATAATAATTTATAAAATTTACTTATTAAATCATTTTCTATATGTAGCGATTTTTTATATTTTTTCTTGTCGGAACGCGTTCCTTCCCAAAAATGATTTGCCGGAACGACGTTCCGGCGCGTTCCGGCTCGACAACACCACTGAGAAAAAGCAATTTAATTTGTTTATTTTATCATGTACTAAACCTTGTCAACCTTTCTTACTTAATTACCATGTGTTTTATGAAAAAATGCCAATCTGTTTAAGTTCAAATTCTAAATCTAACAATTACAACACAAAACTAGTTAAAGATATGTTATAAGTAATTTAATAGAAAAATTTAGTATAGAAGTATTTAGTTTAGAATTATGTATTTTTATTAATCATTAATCTAAAGTAAATGAATAAATAATACAATTTAGAAATCTACTAACAATAGGTACTGTTCAAATACTCAGAGACTATGTTGGAATAAGGTAGGCAATTTTTATAATATCTTACACTAAACTATATTATACAATTCATATATTTCTCTAATCAATCATAAAGACTTTCTGCAAAAGAAGTAATTAAATTGGAAAAATATTTAAAAAGAATATATTTTTTTCTTATAAAAAAATGCTTAATATTTTAGCACACTTCACAAAAATCTATCTATCAATTGTTAGAAAATCTATTTAATATATGGGAAATCATATTTACAATTTTAAAGATGAACATATATTGCATTTGCAATGCCGTTTAAAAAAAAGATCACAAGTATTAGGCATTTAAAAAGCTCGTTGGTTTTTGATAATAATTATTAAAACTGTCCTAAAGGACAACAAATTTAATTTGCAATTTATCAATATCATTTTTTTTATTTTTTCTATAACTTTTTTTATATAATATGCACTTCTTCACTAAATTTTATGTTTCGAATAATACCTAACATTTTTTTTTTTAAATTTTATGGTATTTTTACTAATGGCTTAATAATGGATTTAATCTAATACAAATATACGTAATGTATATCATGTTTCCTAGAATTGGTGGAAAATCATGATAGTTCTTTAGTTAAGAAAACTAACACAAAATATATAAATCCGAAAACTTCTCAATAAAAATTTAGAACTATATTTTAAAACTACTTATATTTAGTCATTTGTTTTTATTTCATATTTTATCTTTTAAGTCCACAAATTCTGAATGCATTAATTAATATATTAAAGAAATTTTTTATATATTTTTTCAACAGCATAAAAATATTTCACATTAATTTAATAGATCATTTTTTAAGATCAATGTATACTTAAACAGCTTTTCGTTGACATATTTTCAAACATTTCTTTTTGGTTACTTTTAATGAGGTAATTTCAATTGTAAATTTATTTATATTGGAACTTTATTTATATTTGTTGATTGAATAATTTTTATAATTATTCTTATAATAAATTAAATAATAATAAAAAATAAGAAAATTATTATAGATTCATAAAAGCGCCGTACTTTCACCAAAACATACGTACACCTGGAATGTTCGAAGAATTAAAAGCCTGATTGGTATGTACAACTAGAAACATTATATTAAATAATAATAAACATTTACCATTTACAACAAAGTTATATTATGGAACAATTAGTTATATTATTATTTTAGAAAATAAAAGATATACATTGTAACATCAATTAAAATAAAAATTTGAAATATAAATAAAACTCAATGCTTATTATTTTAAACTGTAACTTGATTACAACTATTTAAAATAAAATTATTTAAAAACAAAAAATTAATTATTGTATCATTATATTTTTTTAATTATCTTACAATTAAATAAAGGCTAATATATTGTTCAGAAAATTTTTAAATATATAACTATCACATCCAAAACTTTACGACAGACTAGTTATAGTCCTTGCAATATAGATACATCTTGAAGCTTGGCTTCACAATTTAAAATATAAGAAGTTTAGAAATGAATTTCCAATAAATTCAAATTTTTGTATGTAATATATATATATATATATATATATATATATATATAACTTTCGTAATACACATTTCTTTCTGCTATTGATATATTAAATCCTGCATTCAATTTTATAGCTTTTCCAATTATCTACTACTATTTAGCTACGCTCTTAGTAATAAAATTCAGCAATAATTTATAGTTTATTTAATTCTTCAAAAATGTGATATTGTCAAACTTTCCATTTATTATTTTCCTGGAGTAGTTAGTTTTAGTTATGCAATACTGTTTGGTTGGATGTTGGATGCAATATTATTATATAATTCATTATAGATATATACTACATCAGTTGTCCCGTTAAAATAGATTTAAAACCTAACAACGCATACCTGTCTGATAACTTAAGATGATAGAGAGGATAGTACGAGAGCTGGTGCGTTTTTGCCTAAATTTGATCACAAACAAAGTGAAAGTGATATATTCACAGAAAAATTGTATGGCGTCAGATTGAAATATTTTAGCTTACTGATTTCTTATTATTATTATTATTATTAATATTATTACTGATTTATACCAACATAACAAGAAAATTGAATAAGTAAACCAGTTTCCGTAGGACTATAAAGCTGTGGAATGTTTGCTAAGACCAGGACTCCATCGCTATAGCAAGTACATCGTCTAATTTTAATTTTAACAAACGTCAAAAAACTACTCATTTACGCAAACTTTGATGATTTTTTAAAATTAAACTGCTTGTCGTAAAGCCATAATATTTCAGTAAGTTCTATAAGACCATGATATATATCGCCAAAATAAGTTCTATAAAAACCGACTTAAATTTTTTTTCAACAGTTAATTACAAGAAAACGGCTCGGTAGATTTTCACCTAAAACTAATCAGAATCTTTTGAACAGTTTTTGATTTTTTCAAAGTTTTTAGTGTGAGCTTAAATTTGGACGAAAATTTTAACACTTTTTTTTTTCAAAATTACAAAGATACTGCTCGGCCAATGGCTGCACAAAACTGAAGATCAAAATACATTGATTGGCTTTTAAATTTTTAAAATCCGTTCAGGTGTTTTTGAGCACACGTCGATAAAAGTTCTAATTCTGACAAACGCCAAAAAAACGATACAAATTTTTGCAAACTTGGACGAATTTTCAAAATTAAACCACTTGTCGTAGGACCGTACTATTTTAGTATGATATATAATAATAATATGATATATAAGACTATCGTCGAAAAAGAAATTTTAACACTTTAATAAAAGAAAACGGCTAGGCCGATCTTTACTAAAAATGAATTTGGTCGAATCTTAACCAATATCTTTTCAAGAGGTTTTTGAATTTTTAAAATCGAGTTGTAATTGCGGGCTAAAACGTGGACGATTTTTTTTTTCACTTTTTTGCGATTTAAAAAGAAACGATTCGGCCGATCTTGGCGCAAAATTAATAAACGCTAGTTCTCATCGAGATTCATCGAATGGCTTTTGATTTTTTGAAATCGGTCCAGCCGTTTTTGAAAAAACATCGATTTACGGCAAAAAATCTGTTCACATACACACACACAGGCACGCATACTTTTTCCAAATTTGGACTCATTAGATTCAGAATGGGTTGAAACGCCGAGAGAACGTAAAATTAGCATATCGAATTTTTTTATGAAAACATAAACTTCTACCATAGATCTTCTACTTTGGTAAGTTAGAATTACGATTCAGTAAGTTTCAGCAAATTGCATTAAGGCACGATGCCAAACACTACTAGTCTATATTTTTATTTTTTGAAAAATTTGAAGTGCTAAAAATTACACAGTATATTCACTTGGAAGTTAGAAAAATATTTCGAATGTTTTCAATTTTTAAAAATTTTAAAGTTATGGTATTATTTTTTTACTATTAACCTAATAATGTTATTCACTGTGACGGCTCCAGAGTTTAAATGGACAAAATTAATAGATAATAACCACAATAAACAAAAATGGTCACAATTTCAACATAAAGCTTTAGATTGCACTTAAAAGCCCATTATTTTCAGAGATAATTTTTGTGATAATTATTCTTATATTTTTTTCAGGGTGTCCTAGACTTTAGGGTCTAGGACATTCTGTATAAAACTATTTTGAGTAGGTAGCAATCATGCGCCCTTACTACTATTATTTTAGCTCTCGCAGCGTCAGGTAAGTTCTGCCCCATTCGCCCTGCGGTTATTTTTGCGAAACATTCCCATTCGATGACTTTTATCGACTAAAATCAGAGCGTATGACTTTTCTGTATACAACTTCCATATTGCAATATACTATGAAATGCAAGTATATATACGCTAGCAAAGCATAAATACCGATTCTTAAATACCGATTGAAATGCACAAATGGGTCCGCTGACATGCAAAACTGGTATCTGTTAGAGCAGCTATTATTTTATAGACTTTTGCAGATTATTTTACTTTACAAAAGATTTATGGGAAAGTCATAATTTTGATGTTATTACCTTCTATCGTAAGTGTTAGAATTTCAAAATTTTATTGGACCAAATTAAGTTCTTCTTAGAACTTATTTTTTCTAGCCGTTCTGGAGATACGGACGAAAAAGTAAAAAAAAAAACAAATATTTGGTTTACAAAAATGAACATGCACATAGACGTATGCACAATGCAAATTATTAGATATATTAGATTAGATTGTTTAAAAATACACACCAGTTTTATACTTTAAATATGAAATTCAAATTCATAATTCACTTTGAAAATGTATATTTTTCATATTCGTTATTCTGATCGTAAGAAATATATCTTCAGATGGATTAATAATTTGGCATCTCTTCTTAATGTAAACTTTCTCAAGTGCATTGAGCGATAAGATCCTCACTGTATATTTTATGATCGATAAAATATATAGTGATTATAATTATGTATTTGAAAACGTTTAAAAAAACTGTTATTAATCATTGATCAATATTTATTTATTACTGATATTTTTCCTCGGATATTAAATTCTGGTACGAGAAGTTCCAGCAATTTGCCTTAAGGCACGATGCTACACACCACTAGTTAATATTGTATAAATTATATATAGATAAATAATCATATAAAGAGCAATAAACTACCTATCAACTAATTCTATTTGACCGGTACCCGATGTCTTGTAGTTCATTCACTACATTGCTATATATCTTAATTTACCATGTAATTGTCATCATTGTGCAACATTGTAATAAACGACCATATAATATATCTAAGTCTGTTTGAATTTATTAGCACAATTTTTTTCATAAAACAGATAGCAAACCGCCTTTGCATTTCCAGGTCGTTTCTTTATATATTAGATTGTGACCAGATTTAAATCGAGTTACGACTTTCGCTAGCAGTTATAAACTGTCAATTTAATTGACAAAATAGTTAAACAGTCCAACAAAAATATACTCAAAACAATCATCATAATCATTAGTTAATGAATTAAATACAAGTTCAGACGATTTTTTTCTGTAAAAAAACTGAAAAATTACGCTTTTAATGCATATGCATTCATTTCTCTAAACATACATAAATTTCTTTTCATTATTTATACACTGTTTATTACAAGATATACTTCAACCTTATCTAATATGAATGTGTGACTTAATTACAATCAATTTATTGTGCTTTATGCATATGTTGACAAGATCTGGCTAATAATTTAATTTCAGATTACACATATAACCATAAATATGTATATATTCCAAAATTTATTTAACAAAACATGAATAAAAATATGCATCATCTCACATCATTATTTATTTTGTCTTGAAAGAAATTAAATCTAAAACAAAGAGTTTTTATATAGCAAAAAAATGACAACAAAAATTTGAAGTATAATTTTAATCAAAATGTTGTCTCAAATTAATTGTGAAATCACATTTCAATCAAAAATATAAATAATATAAATCTTTCTGTCATAGATCATTTCTTTAGTTAAGGCGCGTCTGTCGGCCTCAATTTTAATAAAATCCTTGAGGCTCAATGACTTTTATCATAAAGAATTATTTTCTTGCTAAACTAGATATTTAGTTCATTCATAAATCTAATAATAATGATCCCACAGTATGTGGGATGATACTAATGTGTATATATATATATATATATATATATATATATATAATTTATTTACTGCTCTATTGCAAAGAATAAACATATAATTCTTCTTAATTATAATATTATTAGAAAGAATTATAATAAGATTTTTTTATTTTACTGATTACTTGCAAATGAATTTATTGAGAGTAAATTTATTGAGAGGAGCAAAGAGTGCAGAAAATAGAAATCGAGTTTTTGAAAGATCAGAGCATCCGATTTAAATGATGAAAAAACATTCAATTCGTAATGACGGAGAGAAGTGGTGATTAGTTTTTGGCAAAGGCAGATTCAGCCATTTCAAAGATACAGAGCTAAATGTGCAAAAAGGCAGTTTTTGAGAGAACTAACCGTCCAATTTAAATGATTCAAAGAACTTTCAGCTTGTTTTAATAAAATAATTGATTTTGAAAAAAAAATGTGTATCATTTTTTTTGCATATCGAGAATAATTCAGATTTTATTTTTAATTCTGACTAAAGTTCTAATATACTTTAAACAAATAATTTTAACTTTGCAATTCAGTTTATATAATTCTTATATATATTAGGCAATGTTACAATATTTTTAATAATCTATTTGAAAACATTCTGTATTCCTCAAACATTTCATTACGGTACGGGAAGTTCCAGCAATTTACCTTAAGGCATGATGCCATACACCCCACTAGTTTTATATTTTCAATTATCATTTCATTATTATTTACATTTAATAATATCAATAATTTTGTTGGTACGGAACTCAGAAGCCGATTACAATATTGCATGCATTGTTACGTTATTGATTATTGTGATAAATATTATAAATTATTGTTTTGCATGTGATTCAATGCTTCCTCATTTGTTTGATGTAACAAATGTAATCGTAATTGTAAAGTAATAATTCTGTTAATTAGATAAGAATCATATACGCATCGAATCATACATATGTATATACGCATATATACTATGCTATATTACAAATTGAGTTATTCATGTTTAATTACATTATTTATAATATAATATTTTACAATTAATACGTATTTCGTTTTTAACATTATATCAAAATTGATCTTGAAATTTTTCATTGATTTTCAATTTTGTATATTCTTAAACTCACAATTTCAAGCAAAATTTCCATTGTCTTTATATAAAGGTTGAAGTATAATTTGTTCCATCAATGACAAATTGGAAATTCCTATAAAGATTATTTCTAAAACGAATTAATGTAACAATAAAAATTTACATAAATAATACACATTAATAATATGTTTGATGAGAATATATTTTTTCAATCAGATGATTTTTTCATATACCCTTGCAAAATAGCCTAGAGATGTTTCTGATAACTATTTCATTGTTAGATGTTTACGTATAAATACGAGTTTTCATAAAATCTCATCACATTGTACTAAAAGAATCATCATGGAATTACAAGTAAGATTAATATTTTATTAATAGTCTACATTTATTTTAAATAATATTTTAAATTTATCTTTATATAGTTAGCTATCTTATTGGTGTCCGTCGCTGTGGTTTTGTGTGGAGATGACCAAAGTTCTAAGGTTACGACTTCAGTTAAAAAATCTATAGTTTTTGACTCTAGAAAGCAAGATAAAAGAGGTCTAATTGATTTTGGATATGGTTTTGCATCTGCTAATAGTAATATGAACACCAATACCAATAATCCATCCGGAACAGGTAGACTAAATTTTAAAAATTATCATAATTTTTATATTTCTCGGTAAGCAATTAGGCGTTTTAAGGATATTATTAAGTAAACTTGTTATTACTTTTATTCATATTACCATTTATTCATATTGTTACTATTCAACATTTACTTTTGAAAAATTCAAAAACATCAATAATTTATTCTAAAGTGGATCTGTCCACGTATAATAAGATTCTGTTATACAAAACTGTTATCAAACCTGCCTGGACCTATGGTCTGCAACTGTGGGGTGCAGCCAAGACAAGTAATTTAGCCATAATTCAAAGATTTCAAAATAAAGTACTTATACAAATTATATCAGCTCCAAGGTATGCCCCTACGTGGCTAATTCATTAATATTCAAAGTCGAAGAGGAAATAAGAAAAGTTGCTCAAAATTATAAACATCAAATATCATATCATTCAAATAAATTAGCTACAGAATTATATGACATAACTCATCCTTTTAGACTCAAAAGAACACAACTTATAGAACTAACCCTATAGATCTAAGTTAGCTGATACTATACTACTGAATTTAACTATTTTTATTATTATTATTATTGGTATTTATTATTATTATTATGATTAGCATTACTATTATCGTTATTATTATTATTGTCATTATTATTATTATTATTATTATTATTATTGCGTTTTTCTCTTTTGTTCTGTTTTCTGTAATCCTATAATGTAATGAAGAAAATACGCCTTAAAATAACTTGCTATAACTTCACTACTATAAGGCCTACTACTGGGCAGCCTTATAACAAAATTAATGTTATTTTATCAGCACAATTACTAAATGTCTATACTAACAGCTTGTAATTTATATCGAATAAAAAAAAGTGGATCTGCCAAAAAACTTGCCAGTAGAAACAAATTTCAAACGTGTTGTTTAAGTTCTATTTCAAATAAACTATATCAGTAAATTTTATTTTTAGATACTTTTACCGGTCGTGTCATATCCGACCACACTATCATCACCAACCAAGTACCAGTAACTGTGCCTCATCCTGTGGTGTACCATCTTCAAGTAACAAAGCCACTTTCTGCAGTCTACCAGGCCCAACCTGTCCAATTTCGGCAAGTTGCAGTACCAGTTCTGCAAGTTCAGCAGGTTCAACAACAATATCCACTTTTGGTCACAAAACGTTATTCGAATCCAGCTGATAATAATCCTATCCAAGGACATTTCTTCGTAAAAGCAGTTCCTGCATCTCAATTGGATTTCGCGCATGGAACTGGATTTATAGGAACTGCTTATGATGGTTATGGAAGAACTGATCAAAATTTAGGGACCATACAAGTACTTAATAATTGATTTTTAGTGATTGGTAATTAAATTATATAAATTTTGATTTTATTAGTTTATTAGCTATGTAAAACATTTGAATGTCTGAAATTACATTGATAAAAATTATATAAGAAATTTTAAGTACGAACCTGTAATTAAATTTAATAGAAAGTAATATAATCAAACATAACTTCTTTTTATTTTATTATGATTGACATTATAATACTATTTTGGTAAAACTAAACCAGATGCAATAAATCCAACAAAAAGTGATAAACGATAATTTACCTTGTTCCTGTTGCTGCTGTTTGTAGGAAAAAAATAAATTAAGAAACGACAAATAAATGGACGGATGAACTTAAGGCAAATTGCTGGAACTTCCCGTACCCGTAAAATTATTTTCTTTTAAAAGATTAACATTTTTGAAAAAAAATTACTCTGAAAAAATTAGATTTTTGAGAAACTAAATTTTTGACAAAAATTTACTTTTTTTGAAAAAAAATTTTTTTAAAGAAAAATTTATTTTGAAATATCTTGGAAACTCAGAACATTTTTTCGAAGCAATAGTACTGCTTTAACTGCATAGAGACGAAAGATCGAAGCGCGTAAGCGCCGCGTCGCCGTCTAACAGGTAAACATTGGTACGGAACCCACAGAAATGTAAACAAAATTTATACTTATTGTTAAAATATCTGATAATTTGATGTGCATATGTCTAATGATCATTTTTTGACTGCCAAATGGCATTTTTTTTACGTTTTTTACTAAATCTCCGAAACCGCTAGTCCTGCCTTTATGAAAATTGATCAGTTCTTCATCTTGTTAATACAATTAAAATATTAAAATAAAAACTGAGTTACCGTTTTTGGCACTTTTTGTCCCATATCTTCGGAATGACTATACCTGCCTTCGCCAAAAACTAATCAGCACGCCTCCCTATCAATACGAATCGAATGCTTTTTGAATTATTCAAATCACTTCATCCGTGTTCCCGAAATCGTCGGCGAAAATTTGTATCCGAACACACACACATACATCCATTTTTTTTAAGGTATGCCAAAATGTTCAGAAGGTTTTGAAACGTAAAGATATATAAAAAATTTCATTTACGATTTTTTTGCGATTACTATAACTTGGCCTATGGGAAGTTAAAAAAAATTATAATCAACGAATTTTATTCAGTTTACTTGATCTATTTCGAATGTTAATATTGCGCCAAAAATTTGTCTATAATATAATTTTTTTTTTTAATTATTAAATCCTATAAAATATTTTTAAAGTTATTCAAAAATATCTTTTTTGTATATTTTTTACATGTACATCAATTGTATTGAAATTTTGGTTTAGATTTATTGCAATATAACGATTTTATCTCTAGAATTGTTTGATTATTTCATTTTCTATTACTAATATATTTATTTGAATTATTAGAAAATAATATAAAAGAGTATTATAAATAAACAGCTTATCAAGTATATAATCGTAGACCTTACCTAACAAGTAATTGCAATATTGTAAAAAAAATCGCCTAGACGGATGTTGACATTCTATTCGCAAACATGTTACTTTCACTTGGTTTTTATATAAAACTTCAAACAAAAAGAACAATTTATTCGTTCTTTTTAAATGTAACATAGAATAATTTATTATTGGCTACTTTATTATTGTGCATAGTTTTACGTATTATCAATTAATGTATACACATCATTAGATAATAAATTTTAATTAATTGAGTAATTATTTAAATTTAAATAATAGTATTTTAAATTTTTAATGAATACTTTATTTTAATTTTTATAAATTATTTTTTTATTAATCACTCTTTATGTAAAATTTTACTATTAAATAGACACGAAGCCCATTATTTCAAGGCTTTTATCAGATGGATGATATTTAACATAATTACATCAGTTTCTTCCAAATATTATAGTAAATGAAACAATTTCTCAATCATTCAATTCAAACTGCATAAACGTTTATTTACAAACAATATAAAACAACAAAACAAAAGCAATTTAACAATACATCAGGTAAATCAACATTAATAATTAATCAGTTCGTATATACATTAATAAAACTGTATATGATCACAGTTTATTTTCAAAAAATCAGTAAAATTTACTAAATTTTTTGATCGAGTGTCTGATTGGAATTGGGCTAAGAAATTATGATTTATGTTCATAACTTCCACCGCCAGAGGAGCCTCCAAAGCTGTGATCACTTCCTGAGAATGATGAAGCGGAGAAACCACCACTGTGAGAATCAGATCCAGATCCTGATGATGAAGAAAAGTCGTGTCCACCTTCACTTCCACCACTGCTACTGCCGCCTAAACTGTATCCTTGAGATATCGCAACTTGTGCGTAGCTGTCGCCATGAGAAGATTCGCCTCCGGAACTAAAGCCGGATGATGACCCATGATCGCTTCCAGAAAATCCACTGGAACTGAATCCAGACGAGGAACCATGATCTCCACCTGAAAATCCGCCAGAACTAAATCCAGATGAGCCGTGGTCTCCTCCAGATAAGCCACAGATCCAAAGTCAGAGGAACCGTGAGATTCAGGTAATTTTACGATCTTTTCTACTGGAACTGGGTATGGTTTTGGTACTGGTACTGGGTAGGGTACATGATGAGGTACTTTGACTGGGTATGGAACCGGAACCTGCAATTACATTAATTGATTTATATCCAAAAATGGACACATTGATATATTATTTATATGTTTTAATCTGATTTACCTTAATTGCGTAGGTTTTTGTTACATGAACAACTTTGGGTGGGAGTTTTTTAGGTCCTGAAAATTTTCCCAAATGAATAAAAGAGTGGTCAAAATTTTTCAATGCTTCACGTCCTAAAAGATCATGGCCAAACCCCTCTTCACCACCATGACCACCTCCTAATGACAAGCTTTCATGTCCACCTCCTCCAAGAGATAATCCTCCATGACCGCCACCTCCAAGTGAAAATCCTCCATGGCTACCACCTCCAAGGGATAAGCTTCCATGGCCACCTCCTCCAAATGATAAACCACCATGACTTCCTCCTCCCAAAGATAATCCTCCATGTCCATGACCCAAAGAAATGCTCTCATGTCCTCCCAATCCACCATGTCCGCCGGAAGATCCTAACGATAATCCGCCATGACCTCCTGATGAGCTAACGGAAATGGATATATCATGACCTCCAGATGATCCTAGTGATAGTCCTCCATGACTTCCAGAAGATCCAAATGAAAAACCACCGTGTCCACCAGAGGATCCTAATGATAAACCACCATGTCCTCCTGAGGATCCTAATGATATACTTTCATGACCTCCCAAAGATAAACCACCGTGTCCACCAGAAGAGCCCAAGGATAATCCGTGTCCCCCAGAGGATCCTAATGAAAGGCCACCATGACCGCCAGATCCTAGTGATAAACTTTCATGGCCACCGGAAGATCCTGAAGATAAACCATGTCCACCAAATGAGCCTAATGACAGGCTTTCATGACCACCAGACGATCCAAGTGATAAACCTCCATGACCACCAGATGATCCAAAAGAGAAACCACCGTGACCTCCAGATGATCCTAAAGACAGTCCATGTCCACCGGATGATCCAAGTGATAGTCCTTCATGACCTCCAGAAGAACCTAGTGATAAACCTCCATGACCTCCAGAAGATCCAAGTGACCAGCTTTCATGGCCACCTGATGAACCAAGAGAAAATCCTCCGTGTCCACCAGAAGAACTGATTGAAATACTTTCGTGGCCACCGCCAGAAGAACCTAGAGATAAACCACCGTGATCACCAGACGAGCCAAAGGAGAAACTTTCATGGCCACCGGATGAACCTCCGTCAGATATTGAATATGAGAGTGAACTTTGGTCTCCTTCTAAGGAACCCGATTGTGATCCTGAATCTTCTTGCACATCGTAAGTCGTGCCTTCTTGTAGTTTTATACTGTGGGCTGTAGCCAGACAAACCACAACTGTGGTGGCGATGATCTGGAAATAGAAAATAATAAAAAATATTTAAATATTTAATAGGAACTGAAAATTAAGAAACGATAATGTCCTATGGAAATTTGTAATATAATTGAAATTTATTATTTATCAGCAATAAATAAGATTTATATACAGAAAATAAAAATATTACCAATATTGTTTAATTTGTATAATTTTTTAATATTATTTTTGGTTTTAGATATAAACTATTTAGAAAAAAAGATAATATTTAAAATCGTTGTTTTTTTAAGAAGTGAAATTTTATGCTTTTCTGTGGTAGAAGCATTAGGCAAAATCAAAATATTTATATTCAATTATTTTAAATAATGTTAATAAATGTTTATTTAAAAATATAAAAATTTATATATCATCTATATATTAAAGATCACAATTATAACGTTGATATCAAAGAACATGGTGATATTAAAGTAAATATTTTTGAAAATTAAGATCCATATTAGTTGTTAACAACTGTTGCAAATTATTATTTTAAAAAAGATTTTACTTGAGTCTATATTTAAATATTAATTATCACAATTATAATCCATTTCACAGACGGCACTATATTAACTTTATAATTTCATATGAATCGGTACGTACCAGAATATTCATTTCGCCACTCGTGTTCGATGTTTGGCGTGTAACTGATGGGTTGTGACTGTTAATTTCGAACTATCTACTTTGAGTTTATATATAGAAAGCCTTTCTTTATCGAGTCAACGGCCATTGCCACGATATAGTTTTTTGTACGATGGTTTTATTTGTTTCGCATGTCCTTTCCTTTCATTCGAGATGGTTATGAGTGCACCTATGCTACAGTTGGCGCATGCCACATTTTTTAATCCAAGAACAAAAGACTAGATTTCAGAATACAAAATTATTTATCACACATTCTTATTTCATTAATTTATACGATATTATTCAATTTACACGGTTATTAAATATATTTGCACTTCGTAGGTAATAGCTTCCAGGAATCGTCAAGCAGATGCTTGCGAAAGACTTTAAATAAATTCACGTTACCTGTTATTATTTACAGTGTCCTCTCTAAAAAATTTTTACACAATTTTAGACAAACATTTTTAAGTTATAACATCTTATAAATTTATTTTATTCTATTTTTTAAAATGATGTTTTTAATTTAAAATCAAATTGGTTGTGTGTTGGCATTCTCCTTCATCATGATTGTATTTATTTTAAATGATGAGTAATATATTTTAGATTTTTGCACGATAATTTCAATAAATCTTTGGTGCAAAATTAGAAGCTAATGAATTATTTAAACAAGATGAATGGAAAATACCTGTTCCATACTCAACATTACTGTACCAAACTAAGGTTTGTCTCGTAATTGAATTTAATTTGAAGGTAAAATATTAATATATAATTGCTAATCCTTTTAAACTAATTCATTTCAAAATCTGTATACTTAAACAAAATTAAACAATCAGATCAATTTAACCATGTCTTAACAGGACAAACGAATATATAAAAATTTATGTGAAGAATATAGAATATTAATTTTTAGTTTTGTTTCAACACCACTTATGCATGTTGTTGCAATATAAAAAATAAAATGTACATTATTAACTTCCCGTAGGGTAAGTTATTGTAATCGTCCAAAAATTGAAATTGAAAATTTTTGCATTTTTCGACGTTTTGAAGGTTTCTGAACATTTTGACATACCTCAGAAAAAATGGATGTGTGTGTATGTGTGTGTGTGTGTTTTGTGTGTCCGGATTTTATCGTTCACTTTTTCAGGCGCACGGATCAACCGATTTGAATAGTTCAAAAAACATTCTATTCCTATTGATAGGGTGATGTGCTGATTAATTTTTGGTAGAGGCATGTCCAGCCGTTACGGAGATATGGAGCAAAGTGTGCAAAAAATAGAAATCGAGTTTTTGAGAGAATGTAGCATCATTTTGAATGATCTAAAAAGTATTCAATTCGTAATTATGGTAAGAAGAAGGCAGGACTAGCCGTTTCGAAGATACAAAGCTAAATGTACCAAAAATGGCAGTTTTTGAGAGAACTAAGGATCCGACTCGAATGATTCAAAACACTTTCTGCATGTGTTGGCAGAACAATTGCTTTTAGAAAAAAAAATTTAATGTTTTTTTCAAAAAAATTGTTTTTGTGTATCGAAAATAAATCAGATTTTAATTTTAATTCTAACTAAAGTTCCAAAGCTTGTATACTTTAAATAGATAATTTTAACTTTGCAATTCAGTTATATTTATCTTATAAATATTAAACAATTTTACAGTGTTTATAATAATCTATTCAAAAACATTAAATATTTCTCGAATTTTTGGTTATGGTACGGGAAGTTCCAGCAATTTGCCTAAAGGTACCATGCCTTACACTACTAGCTATTTTAACTGATAGATATAGATACATTTTAGATGTTTTGCAGATAAATTTCAATACATTTTCAAAACTAATGAATTGGTTCATACTCATCATTACTATTTCAAACAAAAATATATCTAATATTATTTCTAATTACATAAATAATAATTGCAAAGCCAGTGCAAATTGAATTTAATTTATAGGTAAAATATTAAAATTTAATTGCAATATTTCATAGAGCAAAATTGAAAACTAATCTGTATACTTAAACCCAATTAAATAATCATATCAATTTAACCATGGCTGAATAGGACAAACGAATATTTAAAAAATTATGTAAAGAAAATAAAATATTAATTTTTACTGTTTCTGCATCACTTATGCAAGTTGTTACAATACATAAAATAAAATATACACTATTAAAATTAGTTTTGATAATTATCTAAGAAATCTTTATTACAGGCAAATTTCTATACATAAGGGTGTGAATTAATATTAATGTTTAAAAAATTATATTTATATGTGTAACGTAGTCAAATTAAATCTGCCACAAAAATGTAAATTTTAATTTCTTTTTATATCCATAATATTTTTGAGAATAAGAACAAAATTCTTTTTATTTCAAATTAAATTCTTTGGCAATGCCAACAATATTCTGTTTTTCATATTGTCGTTCTACAACTTTATTTGTACTGATATTATCCAAATTATTTTTTTAAACTAAACTTTGTGAAAAGTTTTTCAATCCCTGACTGCATTTACTTACTACTAAATTGATCTAACCACATAAAAGCGAGAGTAACTTTTTTCTCTGAGTAAATAAACTGTCACAGTTAACTCATGTGCGTTCCTGTAACTGGTTACAACACATTGGGATGATGTAAAATATAGGTAAACATCACTTGACAAAAAATATAATATAAATTTTAATGATATTTTAAATTAATAAAGTTTGTAATCAGAATTTTGTAGTTGAAATAAATAATTATATTCTTACATAGCAAGTACATATTAGTTCAAAGTCTGGAATTTTTTTGTTACAATATATTTATGATATTAATTAGCTCCAATATAGATTAAGGGTGCTATGACTTTTTATATAAAAACAAAAAAATATATCAAAAATATCTATGTCTAATAAAATCAGCCTAAACTTTGCCTAATTAGCAAAACCAAATTAACTCAAAATATTAATAAAAGCTTTACAAGCACAACCGTGAAATTGAACGTAGAAATATTTATGGAAAGACTCTTCAATATTTTTTAAACTACTTAACAAAATTTGGGAAAAGGTTTAATACTATCCAAATTTCATATTAAAGATTGCAAAAATGTGCTAGCCCTGTTAATTAAGACTTCTATACCATTGCAAGTCTCTTACATATTTATTAAGTGAAATTTATTTACAAAATCTTCAGTTTGATATCAAATCAGTTAGCTCTCCAATATTATTTAAATTACTTGATAGAATTTGGGAAAATTTTTAATACAATCCAAATTTTAAATTAAAGATTGCAAAAATGTACTAGCTTTGTTAAAGACTTCTTCTGTACCATTGCAAGTCTCTTATACATTTATTAAGTGAATTTTTTTTTTTACAAAATCTTCAGTTTGATATCAAATCAGTTAGCTCTCTAGTATTATTTAAATTACTTCACAGAATTTGGGAAAATATCAAATACTATCCAATTTTTAAATTGAATATTGCAAAAATGTGCTAGTCTTGTTATTTAAAACTGCTATACCATTGCAAGTCTCTTACACTTTTGTTAAGTAATAATTTTTTGTACAAAAACTTCAGTTTGATATCAAATCAGTTAGCTCTCTAATATTATTTAAATTACTTGACAGAAATTGGGAAAATTTTAAATACTATCCAGATTTTAAATTAAACATTGCAAAATTGTGCTAGCCTTGTTAATTAAGACGTTTATACCAGTGCCAGTCTCTTACACATTTATTAAGTGAAATTTTTTCACAAAATTTTTAGTTTGATATCAAACCAGTTAGCTCTCTAGTATTATTTAAGTTACTTAACAGAATTTGGGAAAATTTTTAATACTATCCAAATTTCGAATTAAAGATAGCAAAAATGTGCTAGCCCTGTTAATTATAACTTTTATACCGTAGCAAGTCTCTCACACATTTATTAAGCAAAAAAAATTACAGAGTTCAGTTTGATATCAAATAGGGAAGCACAAAAAATTACTGTCGTAATAAGATAATTGAAAAGTGTTGAACTAAATATTTAATTAGGTATAATACTAGTCAAAAATTTATTGAGCAAATTAGTTGTATGGCATTTGGCTGTTTAAAATTTCATAAACATTGTAAATTGTCACCTGTCAACAAGGTCTTGCACACCTGCCTACCTGTCGAAGTAATAGCATTCTATGTTTTTTGTCAAATGAGGAAAACGATATCATATATCAATACCCAAAATTATGCAATATTAAGTTTTTGCCACTGAAACGT